TTCGCTGTTCGCAAGCTTCAAAGCCATGTTGTCTTTTGTTTTGCGTGCGAAGTTAATGACAAGGCTTTAGCTTCAGGTACGGGTGAGTTGATCGCATGCGGATTACAGGTGATCGTCCTGAATCCGTATGTCATTTGAGATCAACAGATCGGACCCGCTCCAGATTCAGTAAGTCTTGTCACGATGGAACCTCGGGTCGATCGAGCCATGGACATCACTGATTTGGAGTGGCAGCAGTTGCGCCTCGAAGACCTGAACATGTGGCAATACATGTTCGTACAGAGAGTTGGGACTTTCCATTTGGACCGTCCTATCCAGGCCATCATCGAGCATTTCCCGGCACGTTGCAGATACAGGACGGCGTCGAATCAGTCAAGCGGGCCTGGATATTGATCCAAATCGGAACAGAGAAGAGCGTACGCAATTACTGCGATTGGTTCGTCTCCATTGTCCGCAAGAACCAGGGTCGGCTACAGCAGGTGAAACACTTTGGGAGTCCTATGCCTATGCCTGGGACATTGCCATTCGCGTGCGGAACAAGGAGTTCTTCTTCCCCACCATCGCCGATGAGCTCATCTCCGACACATCCAAGGTCAAAGAAATCCTCATGCAGAGCCCCGCAAAGCGTAAACGCACCACCGAGTGGGTTGAAAGGGCAATGGAAGAGGAAACGGCAAAGGCGGCGGCAAACAGACCCAGGCTACAACCAGTAGACATGGGGACAGCGACATACAACACCCACCATGTGGCCCCAGCCCCACGTGCCATGGCGCAACCAATGGACACAACCCACAACCCGTCACGCCGTCCATCCCTCTTCAGCCTGCTGCAGTCCAGCCCAACATTGCCACTCCCCGACAAAGGCAAAAGGTAAGGGCAAGGCGAAGGAAAGGGCAAGCACAACAATAGGGACAGCGCGGGGGGACAAATCTGGAGCCCCTGGAGCCAACCATCAGCAGACACGGCTGCTGCGCCGCCTGTTACTGCCTCGGCGACGGCAGGTGGTGCAGCGCCACGGATCCCCGCCATTCCAAGACAATTCTCTAATCCCTCGAAGTCATGCGCCTCAGTTGGTGCAGGATTGGCCTTGGAACATCTAGAGATATCCCTCTGCTCACTCTCAGCTGGGAGATTGACGAAACATGCCAACAGATCCTCGACATTCAATATCATCCAATACATATGGGTGACATCGCATGGTTTGACATCATGGAGACCGTGAACACCACATATTCTCACATCCCGGACGTCGCAGGAGGGGCCATGTTGGTGACTGCGGGGCCCCCTTGTCCTGATTATACTCCTCCATCAAGAACAAGCCACAAGGAGGTGAAGGACGATTTTCATGGACTTCGTTGACTTGGAACACCAGATCCGCCAACATTTCCCCGAGACCCAGTGTTAACATTGGTGGAGAACGTCGTGCCTCATCCCCAGGTGGTTTTTCGACTTGGAGAACACCTCACAACTCCTCGCGATGAACCTGGTCATCTGTGACACGGCAGACGGCAAGGTCAGACACCCAAGACGTCTCTGGTGGTTATCTACCGACTGAGACCATGTACAGCGAGCGCTCACATGCTCCACATCCTGGTCCCTACACTGGCAGACGACCAACGCACCATGGCCACAGTTACAAAACCCCATAGCACAAGACCTGCAGCCACAGTTACGCGCCAAACACATGACACTTCCACTGTTCACACAGCAGGGTGGCCTGTTCCATTGCCTTCCCGCCCCAGCCGCGGCCCTGCAGGGCAGACCACCGCCGCGCCAGGCCAACAAACCACCCCAACACCATGAAGCGATGGGCGACAGACAACAAGAGGTTCGCGCCGTGGCAATACCAGCGCAAATACCTCACGGACAACAAAGGCAACAAGACTCCTATCAATGCCGAGATCCACGAGAAGATGATGGGATTCGATGGCAAACGCACCAAAAACATGGGGAACGAACATAAAGAGCTTGCCAGGAACAAGGCTCTGGGCAACCTTGCATATACCAACAGCCGTGTGGCTCATCTTTCTGCTCCTGCTCGACCTCGTGGAGCCCGCACCAGTCACCATACCACCCACACCGAGCGAGTCAGCGCTACAGAGAGTGACATCCGTTTGGCGCCACACGCGGAGCACCTTCGGTCCTTCTGAGGAAGCCATGCAACACTCACATGCCCTTGTACGATTGGGAGGAACACATCACGTGGATCCACAACAACGATTCCACATGCACCAACGCACCCAACTCGACCCCGCCATGTTGTGGTGCCTCCAAGACAAACACCTTTTCCATCAAATACCCTCTTTCAGGTCCAAAGTAGTTGCCGAGAGAAGGACCCTCGCGGAACACCTTGCACCAATCACTGACAGCTAGCTGGAAAGCCTTCCAACACATATCAGACACGCACTCAGACACGACAACAGGTGCCCGCATTCACCTCCCTCCTGGAAAAAAACCATTGGTTACCCACAGGCACACACACTTTTCTTTGAGCTCTCACAAGGAGTTCAGCTCCTGGGCAGACTTACGCCAGGAACAAGTTGGCGCACACGACAGGACAATGAATATCTGAGTCCAAGAAGCCTAGAGGAGCTTCAAACTCTCCGACAACAGAGTCGACAAGCGCCGCAAGATGATGTTGGGGGAGATCATCCAGGAGGTTCGCGACGGTCGCGCACAGTGGAAACATCACACTGTCCAACACAGCACCTGCCCGGACCAGCCCCTCACAGACACACCACATCAATCACCACTCGTTGCCGTCGCGGTGGGTTCAGACGGGAAGGACAAAATACGCAGAGGTGATGACTGGCGAAGGAGCGAACACAACTCTACTTGCATCTTGCGCGACCAGCCCTACCGCCGCAATCCAGACTACTTTGTATCACTGGCTCTGGCCACTCACAGACCCGGCGCTGACCTACATGTTTGGGGGCATGATCATGACAGCGCAGACCGACAGCTAGAACTCCAGAACCAGAACACCGCTACGTCCTGCTCATCGCAACCGACGGACCGACACTTTAGAGCCACAGTGCATTTCTGTTCGGTTCAGCAGCCAGTGTATGGGCATACACTAGGTTCGGGGACAGTCTGCTGGCCACGTCCCGGATCACCATGCCCCCCACTGCACTACGGACGACTATGGCTCAGGTTTCACCGGCTTCGAGGACTTGCGTGGCGCCCTCGGATACAACATGAAGCCATCCAAGCGACAACCACCAGCAACGGAACAGCGCATCCAAGGACTGATCATCACCTCTGATCGCGGACACATCCGGGTGAAACCATGCCCCAAAGGGGTACGCGAAATGAGCCTAGAGGTAGAACAACGCATCAAGGACAACAACCTACCGCCCGACCTTGCTAGACGCATGGGGCAAATGTAACTTCGAGGTTTATTCGGCCAGGTGGGCCGCACACCTGTCAAAGCATTCTATGCACGGGCCAACTCAACACAACACCACCTCAATAAAGCAACCACGGCAGCACTTTATGCAATCTCCGACATCATCAACCATTGTCGGCCTATGACCATTCCCAGGACCATTGTACAAGAGGCTTTCTAAATCATTTACACCAACGCATACAGCATCGCCAACGGCAATCGCAAACGACCAGGAGACAAAATACAAACGGATAGGCGCCCAAGACTTCACTAAGGTCGAGAATGGGTGGGGTGCAGTCATTTTCATCGGGGGCGCCAAAAAGAAGGCAACATACTTCCAGGTCGGCTTCCTAGCGAAATCCTCAAACAATTCAGCAGCAACACTGCCTTCATCTACCTCCTCGAAGCATGGGTGGCCATCCTCGTGCCGATCATCTTCGAGCCTTGGCTTGGAACTTGGACCGTTCTACGTCCAGTGCTGCGACAATGAAGCAGCTAGACATGCCCCCCTCAAGGGAGTAGGTAAACACCAACTCCTCGATTGCCTCATTAGTGCATGCTGGACATAGCACAACAGACGTGGGATCCGACACCGTATCGACAAGGTGCCCGCAAACCTTAACATTTCAGATCCCATCAGTAGATTCGAAGAAGTCCCTGGAGCGTGGATTGGATCGCTCTACAGATACCCCTGCGAGCCATCATTAAGAGATGCAAGAAGATCTTGCGTAACATCTGATTCGCCTCCGTTTTAGGCATTGAATCCATCCCAGCTGTGACGGCACCACATGGATCTTTGCCGAAGTTCTAGGGAGACCAGTCGTTGACGGGATTGCGAAGGCTGCGTTGGGAAATCGTTCGGAATGGAACAGTGGTTGGAAAACAGTGCGTCAGCTGCTCTTGTGAACTTCTTGTTGCGCTGGTTGCGTTACAGAATCTTCTGGAGCGTCTAGTTGTCTTGTGTTTCGCGTGCGAAGTTAATGACAAACCTTTAGCTTCAGGTGCAGATGTGTTGATCGCATGCGGATTACAGATGATCGTCTTGAATCCGTTGGCCATTTTGGATCAACAGATCGGACCCGCTCCAGATTCAGTAAGATTTTCTTCTTTCCCACCACACCCACCGTATTAGTATATATGATCTGAACCCGCTTATATGGGTTTCTTTTTCTTCCATTCTCTGTGGACTCTGCATGGATGTGTATAAAGCATACCGAACGGAAATCGGCCGCAATGGAACAGTTGTCTGGATACGACAACGGTTCGGAACAGTTGTCAGCATACGGTTCATCATACGATCAGAATTCTCAGAGACCACAAGAACAGCCATCGCAGTGAAAATGGTAGGAAAACAGTGCGTCGGTTGCTCTTGGGAACTTCTTGTTGCACTGGTTGCATTACAGGATCTTCTGGAGCTTCTAGTTATCAAAAGCTTGCTAGAATGTGATCTATGTGTGTTGAAGACGGCCTGGCAAGCTGCCGTGATTCAGTTCGTGGGCATCCTGTTGACCACTAAGCAGAACCGATGTCCACTGGCAGATGCGCCCCACATAGGTGGCACAAAAACAGGCTAAGCGGCTAGGCTGACAGTTGCGTCGCTTGCCAAAGGCTAATGATTGATGATGCGCTGGGACTTAACACTGACCCGTCCAGACGCTGAAGCTGTATAATAGAAAAGCCACACGGCCATGCTGAAGGGGTCAATGCGGCGGTGAATTTTATGATGAAGAATTTGCTCATAGTCCTTCCCTAGGAAATGCCATGAGTGCAATCCATGTGGACATCCCGAAGGAGGGTGACAATGGCGAGGCTTGGTCTAGGGAAGCTAGTGCGCTTCACAGGCTCAGCATGACAAAACAGGTTGTCTTCCTCCTATCTTGGGGTGGCGGATCTCTGCAGGCCTGGCGCAGATTTCAAGGAATGCATGAGAATTCGCGCGTGCAGGACACGCAAGACGTCGTAGACATGTACCGACCTGCCCTTGGTATGCCTTGGTTGCTCACATCTTCAACATCTGTGAGCATGTGCGGTAAGGGCGCATCTTCCCTGGCTGCACCATCTTCGTGTCCACGAGCAACCGCAAGCAGAGCAAGTTTGATTGCATTTGGGATGGCAGCTTCCGTGGCAGTCGTGTGAGCCAAGGTTTCGGGCTGCGGTGTCAATGCGCCCCAGATGCATTTGGATACAGTTGCGAGACGAATCCATTGTGGATCCATGATGCTGATGATGAGTTCTGGTGCCTTGCGCAGGGCTTCCCCAATTACATGGTGGTTTCAATGCGACATTGCACAAGATGATGTGACTTAAGGCGATTTTTGTACCACCCCAGCAAGCACTGTATACGAATGATTCGGGTTGTTGCTAACGCCCCCCCCCCCCCGCCCAGACGGAGTTTCGGGCGGAGGACGGCCTCTTTGAGGGGGATCGGAGAGTTCCAATTCCATATTCGGATGTTGAGTGGTTTCTGGATGGTAGTCTGCAGCATGCTTGCTGAAGTCCTTCTTTGATGCCAGTGGTGTGGTAATTCATCAAAATTGTGATGCGGTGACAAGCTCATCTCCGTGTGTAGTGCTGATTGAATTTTTGAGCCCATCCTACATGCCATACATTCAGAAAGTAGCTGCTGAGCCATGAGTGCCGAACATACTGCCCTATCTCTGAACAAGTCCGCCTTTGACATGAATATGTTCAGAGTAGCTGTTCAGCCACGAATGCTGAATATGATGCTTTGTCTGAACAGTTTGGACTTTCGTAGACCAAAAGATATTTACCTGGATTGTGCCTATGTCGAACCCTCGGTGGTGCAGAAAGAAAAGGCTTGCGTGTTGGCATCGAGACTTGTCGATCACCTGGCAACAAAGTCCCATCAGCACTGACATCAGTTCCAGCCCGAGCCGGGCACCGGCCAGGGATGCACGCGGCAATTTTTCCGCACCCTAGCATTAAGGGCCACTCTCGCAGCCAAGAAGGCGACTGCCGTGGCGTTAGGCAGCCTTGGATACATTTTTCATCATTTTTCTCCAGGGACTAGCCTTGATTGTTTACTTGCTTACTTACCTACTGACTTGGAATGGGTTAGCTTCAGAGCCACTTGATTGTGCTGGGAAACCTTCTTGCATGTCGGACGCTTCGAGGCGCAGCTGGAATAAGAGCAGCAGCGGAAGCCTGGTCCCGAAGCTCCGGCTCTCCAAAGCTTCTGGTGCCGATGCAAGATGCTGGAAATTGTTCAGGTCTATATTCTCGATTAGGAAAGAAGTGCAGCTAAACACCTTCAGGTACACTTATTCAGCAATTCGGGCATGCATGCGTGGACCGAGATGTTGTGCCTTGGATTAGTGCGTTGCTGTTTTGTGGGCGACACTCCATGATGCGGTCGTTGTGCAAGAGCCAGTAAAGCAAGATCTGAGCATGATACAATCCTGGCCTTGCATGCAAGGCTGGCGTGGAACGCAATTTGTAACGCTGACGACCTGGAGGATGGATGCCCAGCCTGTCGAATTCTTTTACGAAGACTGCAAGTGTCTTCACGCTTTGATGCCAGCGCTGTAGACAACGCGAAGGACATTCTACAGGGTGCTGATTTCAGGGTGCAACTAAACAGGGATGTTCCTTTCATGTCTCACATATCCGCCGCGGAGGCGGTCAGCTGGCAAATAATTAACTGGTACAATGCGAGGCTGAAACGCTGAGATGGTCCTGACCAGTTTAGCAAGTTGTGAGGAGCAACAAACCCATCCATCCTGTCCCCGCAGAATGTGCCATAGATCTTGTAGCAACTCACAGCAGAAAGGTGGTGAGATTTCGCGCGTAAGCCCCTCTGAACACGCGAGAGCACAGTCTAAAGAGGCTAGAAGCAGCATACAGGCGCCTGCTCTACGCAAGCTCACACCTGCTCACACCTGGCCTCTAACCTTTTCGCCTCGCAGGCAAATGACTACAACTGCTGACAAACCCACGGCCAGCAAAAAGTAGACCTTTAAGCTGGCTGCTGAAGCTCTGGTGCTGCCTCTTGTGGCAAGAGCAGGCCATGGGAGTACTCAGCTCTTTGCCACCGATTGAGGATGTTCTCCGAGGCGGCGGGCAGTGGTGTCAGCGATAGATTCAAGTAAGTGTCGTGCTCACACTTTCATTTCTGGACCTTACTCGCGGCGTTTGAAAGTTGCATTAAATTTAACTTTGTGGACAGGTATTGTGCTGGACTCTGCCTGCGACAGTTCTGTTCCACTTGATGCCTGTATTCAAAGCTTTGTCCAGTCCATTGCTGGGACTGTGGCAATTGAGCCTCAGCTATCGTAAGATACGACCAGTGCCTTCTTTGTCTGCCAGCGGCCAGTGTCACCACTGTTGCCCAGGCAGCTTCATTGGATCACGACGGCTCAGAAGCAAGCAAGCAGGCTGCTGAAGTGGCAGGTAAAAGAGCTGTGGCCACTTTGATTGGCGTGGCCTGGCTGAGAAGGGGCCCCAGGTAACGGTTGCAAAATGTGCACGACGTGTTGTGTGGCAGGCAAGCTCTGTTGCGAAGTCCCACTTGTACGCAAAGCCGCCAAAGATGCTGACCAAGCTTGCCGATGCTGATGCGGCCATTGTACATCGAATGGAGCCCCCGGTGCCCATGCAGTTCATCTACTCCAAGGCGCATCCTGCAGCTTGTGCTGCATGTTCTGCCAACGGATTTGCCACGTGCACCTGGATGTAGTCAGCGAATTGCTCGCGGACCCTGTGGGTGCTACTTGATAGCGAGAAAAGACAGAGAGAGACACAGAGTCTTCCGTAGCCATTTTGGCTCAAGTCACCTGCCGCCTCTCTCCACTTGGGAGATTGGCGCTCGGCACCGGCCCCTTGGGGGTAAGGAGGGTCTCTCCTTGGACCTGCAGGGTGGACGTGTGCCTGATCGGGGGGGGGGTTTGAGTCACATGTGAAGCCATTTTTCCACTCAGGCCCCTTGCTGCACACGCCCCTCCGTGGGAGTAAGCTGTAAAGGGGGATGCCGTGAGGTGTTTAGGTTTCGACCTGCTTGGGGAGCAAGTACCGTTGACCTTTCTGGAGGAGCATTTAAGCCCCTTTCACAGAGTGTGCACAAGGGGGGTACACATTCAAGGCACTTACAGTGTGTCTAGTGCCGGGAGAAGCTGACAGTGTTGCAGGGTGGATTAGGAGAAAGCTTAGTGTGCAGTTGGCTCCTCATTGCCCTCGCGGGGTGTTTGGGGTGTTCATTGTCCATCTTATTGTAAGCTTGAGGGGCCACTTTGGAGAAATCATGTGCCCCTGGGTGCAGCCATGGACCGCGGTGTCAATGTGGACGACAGCAACCAAACAATTGGAGCAGCAGTGGGGTATCACGATAGGAAATCATTGGAATATATTGGAATCACAACAATGGGAGCACAGCTTATTTGCAATTCAGTCCAGAGATGTTACAAGTGGAAAACAGGCAATTCAGTGCGCCAACGGGAAGTGGGGCCTGACGGCCGGTCTGGAGAACGACCCGAGGTACTCTGGAGATTACCGGCTTGAGGAAGCTTCGTTAGCTGCCGACTTGCGTGCAACGAGGTGCAAATTGGCTAAGCTCGGAGAAACAAAGGTAACCCACCCAGCGACTAGTGGAATGTTTACTGGAGTAACTTTGGAGTACCGCTGGTGATCTAACCACCGACTAGTGGAGTGCTCGCCGACGCAACTCACAGAGCCAAGGGAAGTGATATCCGCCACGGCAGTGTTGATGGAGGAGGGCGGAGATTGGGAATGGGCTCCTGAGACCTTGAGAACTGATCCAACGAGTGAATTCAGTAGCCGAGGATTGTATAGGCCCACTTGCCAGGGAAATAAAAGTGAAATGAATTGTTGTTGATGGGGTTCTCTTCTCTGTAGCCATTTTCTTGGGGTAGTGAGCATGAGATGATTCCCATTTCTGCAGCGCTTTTGGGCCAGGAGCGCATCAAAGGTCCAGACGTCCTGTCGCCTTGATGTAACACACTTGCGCCATAGGTTTGCTGAAGATTCAAGGGGACCACCAATGCCTTGTCCGTGGACCTTCCAGAATTTAACTTGGAGTTATGCTGTTATTGCGCAGTTATTGGAGATGGTTATGTAGCACCTGGTGGTGGCGAGCAAACGAGTAGCATGTGCGTAGCCCAAGTGCATATTGAAAAGCTGCGTAGGAGCCTGCTATGCACACTCCCAAAACCTAGACAGCCATTGGGCAAGAAAACAAGTGAAACACCCGAAACAAGAAACAAACGCACTCTCCTACGGGCAGGAGTAAGTTGTGCTTTATACCATTCTCCAAGGGAGCGGCAGGCTGTAGCAGTAGACACAAGGGAGGCCTACGGCAATGACAGTTGCTTTATGTTGTAGTAGGGACCACCGCCCTCGCAGTTCCTACGTCCTGATTGTTCTGTCTTGGCATCCCACCACTGCACGGGCATGTGGTCACCTCGGTACAGACCCTGTGGATCGGCAATTGCGGTGATATACTGCCCTTATAGCTGTCAGCGTGAAGAGAGTGCTGATCCTAGGTCCTAGCAGGGAAGGGGGGCTGCACACATTCATTCTCACAGCCAGCTAGAGGAGACGATGCTGCAATCGGGAGCCTCATATTCCTATAGTCATGGTATTGGGGGTGATGGCGACCTGAATGTAGCCTCTGAGTATTCGCTGGTCCCGACTGCGCAGACAGGACAGCCCGACCCACCCGTAGGGGTGGGTATAGCCCGCAGAAAAAGAAGAGTCTTCCCCTAGTCTCATCGCAGAGTCTATACGCTCGTCCCGGTGGAGGGTGTCTCTGCGGGGAAGGGGGTGGACGACGCATTGCGAGGGTTGAGGCCGCACGTCGCTTGCCGTTTGCCAGCCGAGAGGGTCGCCCCTGCAAATAAGGTAGAGCCAGCTTGTGAGGGCAAAGTTGCCTTTCAACATTTCCTGCATGTACCCTTTTCCGATGTGCAGTCGGGATCGTCCTAGGTTGCCATCCGCATGGTAAGAGTTTCTTCAGGGAAAAATTACACGGAATAATTGTGCAATGGTTGGGAATAAGGCGGCAGTGCCCGCGCCTATAGAAGTGGATGCAAAGGAAGGCAGAGACAACCGCGCTGGGAGCCTCTTCCAGAATGTGGCGCCGTCCCAGGAATCACCGAGCAAAAACCGCGGGTTCCTGAACAGACGTGCAGCATCTGCATCGAGGATCTCAAGTGCCCTGGCTCCGTTGGTGCAAGGCCTACAAAAGGCGGTCTGGATAATGTTGACAGCCATGTAACATCCAAACTCGACCATTCCCTCGATTTGGTCGAACCCCTCAACGAGAGGCAGAGAGGGCAAGGAGACGGCGCCAAACAACTCAAGGAGGCATTGGATGATCAGGACAGGAAGCGAGGCGAACAGGACAAGGAATCCAGCGTATTCTTCGACGCGTTGAAGCCCTCGAGAAGGCGGGAGAGGCCAAGATCTGGAGTGCCATGGACCGTGACCCGACAATAACTATTGGTGGCTGGGCCGAGGACCAGGACTCGGATACCACACTGAAAATGGCAGCGCAATTCCTGAAGAGAGTTGCCCCGAACATCGAGACCAGTGAGACGTTTGTGCCTGGTGTGAGGCATGGGTTTTGTGTGATACCTCTGCACCTGTGCGACTCAAGCCGTGTGAAAGTGCCAAAGCGGTCTAGTCTATCAGCGATTCCTGGCCACCGTCAGTATGGTCAGATCATGAGACTGGTGCCACAGATGCTACGGGGCGCAAGAAAGTCGTCTGGTTTGCGATATCGGAGCCTCCTGAGCAACCTAGACGCTCAAGGTTCGCGGGCAAGGCAAAGTGCCTGATACCTGATTTCATGGACAAGGCCAATGTTGATCTGCAGGTACAAGCAGAGTACAAGACAGGCGCAGTGTGGGCTGGGAGGACAAAGATGGCTAGCGCCCAATGCCACCCGGTGCAACGCAAGGCATCATGGGGTGGATGACATCGCCCAGGCAACAGGGAAGATCCTGCCAAGGTTAAGGAACGCTGAGAGGTCCTACGGTCCTACTGCAGCAACTGCGATGACAGGAGGTCCAACAAGCTGATGATAGCTGATGGGTATGCGGAACCAGAACAATCGGAGCTGGCAGTGGCAGAAGTATAGATGCAATTTTTGAGCGCAAGGAAGTCGGCAGAATGGCGGAGGGAGAGCGGCAGCTGTGCCGCGGACATCCGCGGACCTTCATCTGCTGGAAGGCACCTCGAGAGGAAGCAACCCTTGACCCTTTTCGCGAGACCAGATCAACTTTTCAGCCAATCTTCACGGCAAAGGGCGGGCGAGCCTGGTGATCCCGCTGTGAAAGGACAGCAAGACCAACAGGCGAAATCGCTGCGCCCACGGCCAAAGGCATGGGTTGTGTCGCACGACGCGGAAGAAGATGTATGCCACGGGGGACGCCGACAAGAGGTGACGCGTGGTGTCAGCGAGGCAGCGGAGCCCCGGTGTCAAGACCCGGCAGAGGAGTGTCGTCCAGGATCGCTCAACAACATTTGGGGAGCCGGACTATGCAGCGCAGGCCGACGAAGCCGTTTAGGGATATGATATCCGAGGCGGTAGCGCCAGAGGGAGAAACCGCAAGAGGAAAAAGGAGAAGCGCTTTCCAAGAGGGGAGCCAGAGCAAGCGACGAACACGCAGCAGAGATAAGCGCAAAGCAGGTATGCGCGCGTGACCTGGAATCTGGGAGGTATGAAAGTAGACCACTTGCCAGATATATTGGCTACTTTACCAGCGTTGGAGCTCGTTCATGCGGAGCCGGGAATACCAGGACCCTGGGCTCATACCAAACAAGAAGTTGAGTGGCGTGGAGAGCTACAGCAATACGGGGTAAACTAGGTCTTGTCAGACGCCGGCAAGTGACAGCAAATGCACTGGCAGTGACGGCACGCGGCGCAGGGAAATTTGGGATTTGTAAACCTGCACCTCCCCCCCCCAAGTTTACCTTAAACGAGAAAGGCAAGCAGTATCTCGGAATGGAACACCATGTTTGTCAACCAGGAAGCCAGGCTCGTGGTGTAAGAGACATGGATGACGGCCCCGCCGCAACAAAGCCCCACCCCCAACAACACCCAAAAGTTTGACTACATTTTTGTGCGCAAAGTGCCTTTCGCGGAGGGGGGGCGGGTCAGAGGGCTGCGACCCGTGGTTAGCAGTGACCATGACGGAGTGGAAGTTCGGGACACAGACGAATGCAACAGAAGGCCAGCCATGTTTCGATGGACCGAGCTGAAATCCAAGACAGATTCAAATAATATCTAGATTCCTAGATTCGCACACAGACCAGGAGTACGATGCCGAGCCCGCTGCTCCAGGATGAAAGAGAGTGGGAAGGCGAGGACGAGGAGCCGCGAAACAGCGACGAAGAAGAGAAAGTGCAGTTGGAAGAGGAACTTGAGGGCGAGACAACGATGATACAGGCAAGGATACGGGCGCGCCGCGCAACCAAGCCGATCAAGGATTCCAGAAGGCAGTGGAGAAGCAGATGTGATGTCGGCGGTCCAACGTCCAGGGAGGGAAGTTGGCAATCGATCGGTTGACAATCTGAGAGAGGGAACTCAGCATGCAGCCCGGCGAACCCGAGACAAATGTTCTTGCGGGGCCTGAGACTTCCGACGCACACCTGTAA